AGGCCCCTATGATGCTGCTTGGCCTGCTGTGTTCATCCAGCCCTGCACCTTGTTGTCCCTCTTCATCAATAGCTGTTTTGGCCAACAGGACACTTCCAAGATAGTGAAAGTGGTCAATGCTCTCTAAGGCCTCCCTGTAGACTTTGATGAGCAAGAGTTTGCTCCACAATGAACTAGGACACCCATGTCCCTCTGTATCTCAGAGCTTTGCGGCCTCGCATCATTTAGATAATATGTTTCTTTTTTATGCTTCTTCCAAAATGGGCAATTTCACATTTTACCAGATTATAATTGTGAGCTACTGTATTATGTTTTTCTTTATAAACTCACTCACAAGCGCTTTATGTTTACTATACCACGTTTACATTCATTCATTAATAACTCTTTACTAACTCAACTCACAACTGCACTATGTTTACAATACTATGTTTCCATTCACTCACTCATAAAACCACATCAAACTAAATTAAACATTCCTTCCAATCCATTACTGTTTCCTTACAACTTTCAATTCTTATCGGCCCCAAGCTGCAAGTAGCCTTTAGACCTGTTTCTGTACCAAAGGCATCCTCTGAATAAGTGTTAATACCATAACCTACTCAGAGAAATGCTATGAACAAAACAGAAGTTGCTGGAAAAGCTCAGCAGGTCTGGCAGCATCTGTGAAGAAAAAATCAGAGTGAACATTTCGGGTCTGGTGACCCTTCCTTAGAGCAATGCCATCCCCACCATCGTGTCTCCATAACTCATTCAAAGCAATGGAAAGATTTTAGTATTAACTAGCCCTTAGCAACCATCTCTTGGGGCCTGAATAGGTTGCAGAACATCAAACCGTTTCCTCCACTAGTATGTACTTTTTAAATACATATTAAATAGGGCCACTATCCCCTTTAAGAAACTTACTATCAAAACAGCGCTTCTGTGAAACAGCACGAATGAATGTGTAAGAGCTGTCAAGACTGGCAATAGTAAATGAAATCTCACAACCCAGCTGCGGGAGATCAGTTTATTATCCTCTGTACTTTTTATTTAGCGCATGTATAATTTCTCACTTATTTAGATCATATAGGTCTAGTATTTTTACTAACATTACTAACTTTAAAGACAAAGGGACTAACACTTCTTAGTCATGCAAGGTCAGACCAGACAGACATTTTAATCCCATCAGGAGTAACAGCCAGCATTTCGCAAGTGCTTAAACCATCTCCTGTTTCCCCACGATGTCATGTGACACCATAGTGCTAAAACTTTAATGTATGTAAGAACTGTGTATAAAAGAAGCTGCTGTAAAACAGTACTTTGGATTCCATCGCTGCCTCGAACTGTGCTACTGCGAATGTTCAGTTGTTATTGAACACGATCCCACAATACTCCAATTGTCAATCTTTGCCCACTTACCTAAACTCTTTAGTATCCTTATGTCCTCTTCACAACTTACTTTCTTACCCATCTATGTGTCATCTGCAAATTTGACAACCATACCTTCCATCCCTTCATTCCAAATAATTTATGTAAAAGGTTGAGGCCCCAGCACTGATCCCTGTGTCACATCACTTATTGCATCTTACCAACCTAAAAATGATCCACTTATGCCTAGTCTTTCCTTCCTGTTAGACAGTCAATCTTCTACCCTCATATCATGAGCTTTATTTTCTGCAATAAACTTTGATGTGACACTTTATCAAATGCCTTCTGGAAATATAAGTACAGACATCCACTGGTTCCCCTTTATCCACAGCATGTGTTACTTCCTCAAAGAACTCCAACAGATTGGTTAAATATCATTTCCCTGTCACACAACTATGTTGACTCTGCCTGATTAACTTTGAATTACATTCTTCAATAATACCTTCTAAAATTTTTGCAATGATGGGGACAAATGGATAGCATTCTTGCACATATTCACAGTTTTATCAGCTAACTGAGCATTGATCGGGGTACAATTTTGACCCTCTCTGTATGTCACAGTTGCACATTGATAGCAATCACCAGCTGGACCATTGTGGGGCACATCCCAAAGAAATTAGGATTCAACTCTTTGGACTAAATTCTTCAAAAAACTCTATTTGAAGAACATTTGAAGAACAGGAAAACCTGTTCCAGAATGGACTTTTCCAACAAAGCTTACATTGTATTTAAGGAAATTATGTCATGTAAAATGACAGTAGATGCAGTAATGTAATCATGCCATGGTAAATTTAAGATCATAAAACAGAGGAGTAGAAAAAGGCCATTTAGCCCATCAAGTCAACACCACCAGTCAATGAGATCAAGAAATGAGAAAAATATGGGCCATTAACCTTAATCTAATGCTTAGGACTTTGCAAGAAGTAAACTTAAAACGAGCAAGGACACTGTTTAATATAGCTGCACAGACCACCTGTGAGGCTGTGTTACTAAAACCTTTTGAAATTTTTAAGTTCCTTCATGGGATGTGGGTGTTGCTGCCTGGTCAGCATTTATTGCCTATCAATACATGTGCTGCAGCACATTTGGCGTACGTAGACCCACAATGCAGTTAGGGAAGGAGTTCCAAGATTTTGACCCAGTGACACTGAAGCAAACGGTGACATGTTTCCAAGTCAGGATGGTGAGTGACTTGGATGGGAACTTTCAGGTGGTGATGTTCCCATGCATCTTCTCGATGGTAGAGGCTGTGGATTTGTAAGGAGCTTTGGTGAATCTCTGCAGTGGATGTTGAAGATGATAAACACTGCTGCTGCTGGGTGGCTATGGTGGAGGGAGTGAATATTTGTGAATGTTGTGCTAATCAAGCTTTGTCCTAGATGGTGTCAAGCTTCGTGAGTGTTGTTGGAGCTGCACTCATCCAGGCAAGTGGACAGTATTCTATCACACTCCTGACTTATGCCTTGTAGATGGTGCACAGACTTTTGGGAGTCGGGAGGTAAGTTACTTGCTGTAGGATTACTAGTCTCCGATACGTTTTTGAAACCACTGTACTTATATGGCTAGTTCCAGTCTAATCTATTATACCCCCAGGATGTTGAAAATGGGGAATTCAGTGATTGATTAAAGGTAGACATGTCTGGGTCAGTCTCCTATGGAATGTCATCCTTGCCATTGTTGGAGCCATCTGCAAAAAAGCAATTGCCAATTTGTTTGCATAAACTGTCTGAGACAAAGGAAATCCATTGAAACAAATTATAGGAAAAGTTGCTGAAGACTCCTCTTCTGTTTTAATGGCATCTTCATACATTTGACCATGGTAGATTGAAACCCTTTTGGTGATATAGATTGCTTCATAGTGGGCTGATAGCATGGTACCACATGATTGAAGCCCCATGAAGGAATTAGCTTTATCACCTTGTCTGTTTGTTACAGAATGGCAGTAAAATCAAGAAGGCCTCCAGAATGGAAAAACAATATCTCTGTTAATCTGTAATTATTCAGTTCTTCTCACAATTTACAAGACTGTTCAAACTAAAGGCTGTCTACAGGAGAACAAATTATGTAACAACTCCAAATGAACTTCAAGATCAAAATCAAATCATATAATTCTTTCACTTAGAAACTATATAATTCCAGCATACTGTAACCTGTTCTGTTTGCTTGCTAGCATGTGTCTGTTGTACAATCTAGGTAGAACTTTAGACAAATGATCAAATGTAAATATATTGATTAAAATACACCCAATCTCCTTAGTCCTTCTTACCGGCATTATTGAACCCATATGATTCTCTTGCTTTAGCCAATGAGAATTTGGTTGTCGTCCATTTTCCAAAGCGATTGGGATCGAGTTCAATGAGGTCAAAATCAGGCTCCCCATCCATAATCCAGTCGCTAAGATATTTTCCAATCCCACCAGCATGAATGATTCCATATCTGAAAATACATTAAAATAGAAGAGGAATCTTCAGCAGCTTTTTCTGGAATGAATTACAATGGGTTTCTTTCATCTCAGACAGTTTCTGCCAACAAATTGGCTATTGCTTTTTTGCAGATAGTCCCAACAATGGCAAGGATGACATTCCACAGGAGACTGACCCAGACATGTCCACTGTTAATCAATCACTGATATATTTTCTTTAAGATGATAACAATTACACTTTAGGCCTAAACTGTTTAGCTGGGATTTTTAAACTATTTAAATCCATAAGCATGTACGGTGTCCAGTTAACTCAGAAAACATTGACTGGTGAGGAAATACATTGACGTGATGTCAAATGCTAACCCTACCAGAGTATATGGGGACAGATTGCCTAAATAGCATATCAGGCAGATCACACTGATGAAATGTTCTGTCACCAATTCTGGGCACCTTACTACAGTAATGACATCAAGGATTTAGAGAAAATGCATTGGAAATAGACTAGAATAGCCAGTCTGTGGGACTTCTATTACATTGACAGACTAAAGAAGATGAGATTACTCTCCTTAAACAAATAAGGTCAAGGTTAATTTTTAATATTTTAAATGTAATATGCAGTATTCATCATGGGGTACTTAGCATAAAGGTTGTGTTAACTAGTTATCCAGAGTCCTAGTCTAATGATGTGAAGACATGATTTATGGGGTGGTGTTCATGTTGTGATAATGACACTGGACAAATGCACTGGAAACACACATTAAAATCACAGCTGACAACATACTATGCAATGGCACAGCAAGCCACACAGTTATATCATATGATTATACAATTCAAAGCTCAATTAGTCCACTTGGTCTCTCAAGCCTCCTGTTCTGTTCAGTAAGAACATGTTTGATCTGATTATTCCACATTCCTACCTATTCCTGACATTTTTCACCCCTTTGCACATCATGAATCTTCTGTTGCCTTAAAACTTTTCAAAGACTGCCTCTAACACCTTTTCAGGAAGAAAGTTCCAAAGACTCGAGGCACTCTGAGAAAAAAAAACTTTCCTCATCTCTATTTTAAATTGGTAACTCTGTATTTAAGATGTCCCACATGGCAGACTGGTTAAAAAAGTAAAAGCCCTTAGGATACAGGGCAATTGGCCAAATTGGATCCAAAGTTGGCTTAGTAACAGGAAACAAAGGGTAATGGTCAATAGCTGCCCTTGTGCATGGAAAGCTGTTTCATGTGGTGTTTTGCAAGGGTCAGTGTTGGGACCCCTGCTGTTTGTTTTATACATTAACAATTTGGACCTGAATGTGGGGGTCGCGGTTGGAACATTTGCAGACAAAGATTAATGTAGGGGATAGCTGTAAGCTCCAAAATGATACAGGTGGGTTGATGGAATGGACAGGAAAGTGGCAGATGGAGTTCAATTCTGATAAGTGTGAGGTAATGGATTTAGGGAAGTTAAACTATGAAAGGGAATACACAATAAACGGGAATATACTGACAGGGGTAGATGAAGTGAGAGATCATGGTGCGCAGGTCCTTAACAGTAGCAGTACAGGTGGATAAGGCTGTGAAGAAGGCACATGGAATGTTATCCTTCATTGGCAGAGGTATAGAATACAAAAGAAGGGATAGAATGATGAAACTGTATAAGATACTGGTGAGGCCCAACTGGAGTAATGTGTAGTGTTCTGGTCACCACATTATAGGGAGGATGTAATTACTCTGGAGAGAGTACAGAGAAGATTTACTCGAATGTTACAAGGTGTAGAGAATCGTAGGTATGATGAGAGATTGGAGAGGTTGGGGCTGTTTTCCTTGGAACAGAGAAGGCTGAGAGTGACATGATTGAGGGGTTTATAATTGTGAGGGATGGAAATAGAGTAGACAGGAGAACCTGTTTCCTTTGGCAGGGAGTGCAAAAACCAGGGTGATAGACTCAAGATGACAGGCGGAAGAATTAGAGGGGATTTGAGGAAAAACTTTTTTTATGCACAGGGTAGTGGGCTCTAGAGTCTGCTACTTGTGTTAGTGGTCTGCACCTTAAGTGCTGTAAACTGAAGTGCTATGGGCCATGTTCAGGAAGATAGGATTAGAAAGGGCATCTGGGGGATGTCTTTTAGTTGGAATGGACAAGATGGGCCAAATGGTCCCCCTCTGTACTGTATCATTTCTATGGATCTATTTTAAACAGTGACTAGATTCTCCCACAACAGTAAACATCCCTTCCATATCCACCATGTTAAGACCCACTGGAACTCTATGTTTCAACCATGTTGCCTGCTTGTAAACCCAAGCGTATACAAGCCTATTCTGAGCAACCTTTCCTTATAAGGCCACCTGAGCATTCAGGATATCAGCAAACTACCTCCAATGCTTTTACGTCCTTCCTTAAATAAGGAGATCAATGCAAGAGTGTGGCGATACTAGTGTGGTAATGCAAGTTGTCTTATGAGGAAAGGTTGGACAGGTAAGGCTTGTATCCACTGCAGTTTAGAAGAGCGATAGTGTGGCTCATCAGGACTTTTGCTGACTTATGGAAGCCCTCGTTGCCAAACACAAGCTGCTGTAATTTGTAAAATGCTGAGGTTGCACAGCCGATCTGGTGTTGGATCAACTTATCAATGGTATGTTTTTGAGAGTGGTGTTTGCCAGGGTTTGGAAATGCTCAATGGATTCTAGAGTTTCTCCTTCAACATACGTAGGAGGCTTCCTTAGGTTGAAAAGATACAGTTTAATACAAGTTTTATTTTGGCAAAATTATAGGATGGGTGCAGGCTTTTGTATGAAGAATTGAAGACTGAGAGTGCACTGCAATCATCTGTAAATCATAGATCATGTATGTTTGCAGTGGGCAATTTATTTTTGACACAAAGTCACTAAGGGTAAAAGGTATTCCATCTAGATAGCACTTAATACTCACACGAGAAAGCAGTTAATAAGGTGAATAGCCACTGTAAATGATAGCAGTCATTTGTAAATAGCATGGGGGCTATCACACAGCCTTTATCACCACTCTGAGATTGTGAAGGCAACTGTTTCAGTTTTTCCACTCATGGCAGTTGCAGTCACATACAGTGCTGTACAATGCAAATATTGAAATGTGCCACAAGGAAATAATCAATATATAAAAATCTCAACCCTTCCCCCGAACTTATCTTCTACCTTTCCCATTCACGTCAGAAACTCCCTGGCGAAGAATGAGTAGACAGCAAACTTTCACTAGCCTTCTCACGGGAGTTCAGGAATCAACCGTCCTCTTCTGTATATATTTTCAGTCAGAATAGTGTACTTAAGATTCATGTCACTCAGTACAAATTGTCTGGACTTGAGAAAGCAGTCTGCTGTTAAATCAAGATAAATAGAGATATGCCTGACAGTATGATAGATACCTTCCTGTTCAAAGCTTCAAACTGCAAAGCTTTCTTAAGGTCTTACTCTACAAGTTTCAATTCCCTCCTTGCATTCTCTGAGCTATCAGGCATGTTGAGATTATCATGCCATTCTAACTTGTCAAGGTTGTCAATCTATGTTTCAGAGATTTCTCATTTTTAGACTGCTTTTCTGACTTCAACCAATTTGGCCTCTAATACTTCCACTTCAGTTGTTCCTTTCTGCGTAACTCCTGTCACTTTCTCCTTAGTCTCATAGAATCCTGACATTGTCAACATTAGATTCATCTGAGAAATCTCAATTTTGGTCAGCATCTCGTGAAGCTTATCTAAGGATGTATCAGAGCATGTTCATCTCTGTTGTTTGATTGTCTCATGGTTGACTTGCTAAAACTGACTAAGTCATTTTATGTACTCACATTTCAACAGGAGACTAACTGGGCTCAAACTGATGGAAGGCAGGAGTTAAAATCACCTGGATCTCACAATCATGAAGATCCACGGCTCTCTGACTGCCTAATCAATCGCAAGGATGAACACTTAACGGATAGCAACAGATCCAGGAGTTCAAAACTAGAACAGCGAATATTAATTGCCCCTATTCGTTATCAGGCAGGAGCTAATATCTATGCTGTTGAAGATGTGCCAGGATTTTACCAAAACAGAAAATTCCCCTCATTGCATCTGCAGTCATGGATGAATGAATGAAACAATTGACGACGCCTCTTGAAAAAGAACAGAAAATTGTACCTACCCAAAGCCAATAGCCACCCAGTAGTTCCGGACACCCTGGTGTGGTCCAGCCATAGGAAGAATGTCTGGGCTGTATGTGATAGGGCCTGATATGATGTTAATTATGTCTGCTTTTCTCAAAACTGGGACCATCTCCATAGCATTTTCAACATTGTCCATGATTCTATCCAAATCCGATTCAAAAAGTTCCTTGCCAAATCCTGGAACAGACCATGATATAAACCCTGAGTTAATAAACTGCCTGAATTATGGTGAATTCAACACGTGATTAGTGCCAGAGACAAGACCAAATGTTGCTGATAGCTGACATGCTTGTGGCAAAACAAAATGTCTTTGTGCAGTTTATACATTCTCATATTGATGGATCCCAGCAGTAGTCAATTCTCTAAACTGTTTACCAATACATAGTTAAATCAGGATGCCCTTGAGAGTAGGGTCACTATGACTGACAGTGGATCCCAGCTGGTTTGATTTAAGGTTGTCAGCTCAGGTTAGAACCCACGGGAGTTAGTAAGGTTTGAGGATGTTAGGTCAAGTCAGAGTTTCCACCAAGAATCTGGATGGAACTGTGAGTAAAATTCAAGGCAATAAGTGAAATATGGCTGCATCCTTACTTGGAAATATATCACCATTTCTTCTGTATCGCTGAATCAAAATCATGGAACTCCTTCTTCACTCTATCCCAAATCCACCACATACTATTTTTAAATAAGAACTTGCTGTGTTGAACTTGACATTCCTTTGTAATCACTGATTTGAAGACACACTTACCACGTCAATTTCCCCAATGCAAACTGCACAACTTCATCTTGAGTGGCCTTGAATAAATCCTTCACCATCCTTTACAAGCCTCTCCTAAATACATACAACTGAATGTACAGGACAACCGCGGTCCGGGTGCTGGATAAGTGCAACATACATAAGGTTTGTGCCACCTGCCTAGGCTTAAGAAGGTCTAGGATGGGCTGGGCCCTAGTTGCACCTTTGCACTGGCACATACCCCTGTAAGATCTCATATTGTGGATTGAAACAGAATTACAATTGCAGGCCTGTGAGTCATGGGAGTGAGTGACTGGAGAGTTTGATCTCAAATGCAACCAAAAGGATTCTTTGCCAAAAAATTCTTGTGCAGTCAGCACAAGGAAACGTGCATTCTTTCTTCACAGTATCCAATGCATTCCTACTTGTCTTCCGCTAATACCTCTGGAGTCCTGCATGGATTTATCATTGGTTTTGTCCCATTTTCGACTACATGCTGTCCCCATGGCTACATCATCCAAAGAAACCACATCATGTTTCATATATGATCTGACAGCAGCAAGCTCCAGCTCATTACCAACTCTATGACCCTTTCACTACCTCTGTGTTGTCCCACATCCACAGAGACATAAAAACATACAAAATAGGAGCATAAGTAGGCCATTCAGCCTTCTGAGCCTGCTCCTACATTCATGAGTGATCATTCAACTCAATAAACTGTTCTTGCTTTGCCCCACATCCTTTGATATCTTTAGCCCCAAGTGCTGTATCCAACACCTTCTTGAAATCAGAAAATGTTTTGGCCTTTACTGTCTTTTATGGTAGTGAATTCCACAGGTTCACCACTCTCTGGGTGAAGAAATTTCTCTTTGTCCAGTCCTGGATTAGACACAATTTCTTCCAATTAAAGATTCTATGACTTTGAAGCCATTGCTTTCAGGAGCCATGACAAGCTCTATTCCTTCCTGTGAGTTCATCCTTCTTCATAGTATCTAGTTTAACAGACCTTTTGCAGCCTTGGGGTCCTATCAACCCCTAAGCTGAGCTTGCAAACCCACATGCTCCCCATCATAAAGTCCACCTATTTTGACCTCTGTGACATGTGTGTGCCATTATTGCCTTAGCCCCTCTGCCAATGAAATCTTCATCAACACTTATGCTGCATCCGGGCTCACTTTTTCCAAAGTCTTCATAGCCGGCACCCCACTCCAATCAACCTTACAGCTCTTCCCCAAGCTCTTCCTAACCCAATGTCTCCACTCTTCCAGGTTTAACCTCCCTTCCTAGCCTGCCACCTTTCCCCCACAACACCACCCCCGACCCTCGATTCCCAGGTGTTAAATGGCGATGGGGTAGCAAGACAGGAAATCCCAGCATCTGATAAATCTGAAAACTGACGGAAATGGGCCTAGCTTTATCAGATTGTATAGTTATTTTAACAAAGGAAAATACTTGACCAATGATCTTTTCAGATAATATGCAGATGAAGAAAAGTGTGCCAAGGATAGTTCCTTGAAGTAATCCAGAGGCAACAATGTGTATCCAGAAAGAAATACTATTGTTGGAAATGGGTCTAGCTTGATTAGACTGATTAACTAGAGAAATTGAAGTTTTGGTCAAGAATAAGAAGTATATGTCAGGTATAGATAACAGGGATTGAGTGAATCCCTAGAAGAGTATAAAAGCAGTAGGAGTATACTTAAGAGGGAAATCAGGAGGGTAAAAATGGGACATGAGATAGCTTTGGCAAATAGGATTAAGGAGAATCCAAAGGGATTCTACAAATTGAGGACAAAAGAGTAACAAGGGACACAGTACAGCCCCTTAAAGATCAGCAAGGCTGCCTATGTGTGGAGATGGAGGAGATACTAAACGAGTACTTTTGCATCAGTGTGTGGAGAAGGATATGGAAGATAGAGAACGTGGGGAAATAAATAGCAATATCTAGAACAATGCCCACATTACAGAGGAGGAGGTGCTGGATATCTTAAAATGCATAATGGTGGATAAATCCCCAGGGCCTGATCAGGTGTTCCCTGGAACTTTGTGGGAAGCTAGGAAAGCAATTGCTGGGCCCCTTGCTGAGATATTTTAATCATCGATGGCCACAGGTGAGGTGCTGGAAGACCCTTCCGTTCTGAGGAAACATTAAGTCTGATTTTTTTCTCCGCAGATGCTGCCAGACCTGCTGAGCTTTTCCAGCAACTTCTGTTTTTGTGCCGGAAGACTGGAGGTTGGCTAATGTGGTGCCACTATGAAAGAAAGGTGGTAAGGAAAAGCCAGGGAACCACAAACCTGTGAGCCTGACATCGGTGGTGGGCAAGTTATTGGAGGGAATCGTGAAGGACAGGATTTACATGTATTTGGAAAGACAAGAACTGATTAGGAATAGTCAACATGGCTTTGTGTGTGGGAAATCATGTCTCACTAACTTGATTGATTTTTTTGAAGACGTAACAAAGAGGATTCATGAGGGCAGAGTGGTGGACGGACATGATCTAAATGGACTTCAGTAAGGCATTCGACAAGGTTCATCGTGGTAGACTGGTCAGCAAGGTTAGATCACATGGATTCAGGGAGAACCAGCCATTTTGATACAGAACAGGCTTGAAAGCCTGCGACCAGCAGTGTGCCACAAGGATCAGTGCCGGGTCCACTGCTTTTTGTCATTTATATAAATGATTTGGATGTGAACACAGGAGGTTTGGTCAGTAAGTTTGCAGCTGACACCAAAATTGGAGGTGTAGTGGACAGCAAAGAAGGTTACCTCAGAGTACAATGGGATCTTGATCAGCTGGGCCAATGGGCCGAGGAGTGGCAGATGGAGTTTAATTTAGATAAATGTGAGGTGCTGCATTTTGGAAAGGCAAATCAGGGCAGGACTTGTACACTTAATGGTAAGGTCCTGGGGAGTGTTGCTGAACAAAGAGACCTTGGAGTGCAGATTCATAGTTCCTTTGAAAGTGGAGTCGCAGGCAGATAGGATAGTGAAAAAAGCATTTGGTATGCTTGCCTTTATTGGTCAGTGCCTCGAGTATAGGAATTGGGAGGTCATGTTGCGGCTGTAGAGGACATTGGTTAGGCCACTTTTGGAATAGTGCATGGAATTCTGGTCTCCCTGCTGTAGGAAGGATGCTGTGAAACTTGAAAGGGTTCAGAAAAGATTTACGAGGATGTTGCCAGGGTTGAAAGGTTTGAGCTATAGGGAGAGACTGAATAGTCTGGGGCTACTTTATCTGGAGCTATGAAAGCTGAGGGGTGATCTTATATAGCTTTATAAAATCATGAGGAGCGTGGATAGGGTGAATAGCGAAGGTCTTTTCCTCGGGGTGGGGGAGTCCAAAACTAAATAACACAGGTTTAAGGCGAGACAGGGAAGATTTAAACGGGGCCTAAGGGGCAACTTTTTTCATGCAGAGGGTGGTGCGTGTATGAAATGAGCTGCCAAGGAAGTGATGGAGGTTGGTACAATTACAACATTTAAAAGGCATCTGGATGGATATATGAATAGGAAGGGTTTAAAGGGATTATGGGCCAAATGCTGGCAAATGGGAGTAGATTTATTTAGGATATCTGGTTGGCATGGACTACTTGGGCTGTAAGCTCTGTTTCTGTGCTGTATAACTCTATGATTCTAAGACTTTAACTGTAGGAGAAATCGAACAAAGTTTTATTGTGCTGGGACAAACCAGGAGAGATGTTAGAGGGGAGAAATCAGGTTGATTACGATCATGTCTGCATGGAGGCTGAGTTGAACGAGCTGAGATAATACAGCATGAGTGGCCAGATATAACTCCTTATCAAGGTGCAAGTATTTGTTCAACATCAGAGGGAGAAATTGAGCTGGATGATGTTCTGAAGTGAAAGAAATGATCTCAATAGCAAAACAGTTTTGTGGAAAATGCTCATTTTTAACATGCAAAGTCTGGGACAGTTCTGTGTTTCATGATTCACCCAATGAGGCAGCCAGGCTGAGAGCCAGAGGAATGTAGATATTAGCGATGGCCAAAATAAATTGCTTTGTCTTTGCCAATATTAAAATTCCATGAAGTTGGGACATACCGTTTGGGCTGATGAAGGAGGATGAAAAGCAAAGCTTGGTATCATTTATGTGAGAGCTGACTCTATGGCCTATATTTTAAAACACCCTCAGTCAATCCCCATCCAGCCACAGGCAGGTAATGGCTGAAGGGAAGAGAGGGGGTAAAATATCAAGATCAAGCAACACAACTCCACTCTTAAATTTTTGCTAAAATGATTACCGAGGCTCAAACAAACAAGAAGCAGGGGCCAAATTAGTATTTCAAAGTTGCAACTAAATGACCTGACAAAGGCAGTGATCTTTAATAATCAGGCAACTGAACTGAGATGTAAGCAGTTGACTACTGGAGGCAAATGCTAAAGATTTGATCTTGTAGGGACAAAGGAGGATCAGGAGTGATCCTGTCAGGTTTCACAAGAAACCTTTTGATCTTCCGTATTGAATTAATGCTTTAAGAGCAGTGTTGCTTTAAGAACTCCATATGCAAATAGACCAAGGACAAGGATGTCATCGTGTTACCAGTGGCCACAAACACTCCGCATTGCAGCATCGTAGGTTAAAGATATTTTTGGAGATTACTCTGTACTCTATGTCTTCATTTTACGTGTAAAAAAAAAACCATAATAGATCTTATATGGAATCCCTCAGCCCTGATCATACATGGAGCCTCCTAATCCCACACCCTGACCTGCACCCGACGTGCAGTTTGTAATCCCCCCATGTGTCAGTTTGGCAGCTAGAGCTGACAGGAGGTCACTTACCTTGATCAGCAGTAGCTCCAGTCTCCCGCTCGCTGTCAGGTTTCCCAAATCTCTCTTCACAGAAGGACACTTAGATGCCCCTATTATACCATAAAGGCAATGGGCACATGTGCAGTGAGCTGAGGTCACAGCCTTCAGATTTCACTGCCATCCCTGAATCCCCTTCTGCCTGTCTGACTGGGATTTAATACCAAAGCCACAGAAATGAAGAAGTAGATTTCCTTTCCAACTTCAATGCAAAATCTAATATATATTATTCACTAAAAGCAGCATTACCATATCTTTATGATTTGTGCAGAGAACATATTCCCCATAATTACGCTTACCTGTAAAAATATGCAAATATTTGCATGAAATACAACACAAATGAAATACTTTTAATTGAAATTACAATCTCCTCTTTGTACCTGGGGGGACACCATCCGTCAACCAAGACTCCTGTATTTTCATTTTCTCCTGAACTTCATAGGGACCAAACAGCAGACCATCACGTTCTTGCCGCAAATAATACGACCCTTCCAAATCACGGAGAACAGGAAGCTCGTGTTTCAGTGCCTTCACCTCTGGGACTGTTGCTGTGATGACATACTGATGATGGACAGGGATAAGGGGATGCTCCAAACCAATCATATCTCCAATTTCACGAGCCCAGAATCCTGCAGCAAACGCAATAAGGTTTATCCACTCCTTCACCAGAACCAACTTGGTTAAAAAAAAGGCTGAGCAAGCAAATGAAAAGTCCACTTTGAGAGGAGCTTAGCTCACAATGGATACTTATGTACTCTCAAATCAAAAACAAGCTTCAAAATCAGGTTACTAACACTTATGAAATTGCATTTTGTCATTTTAATTCATGTTAAGTCAACTTGGAAACCTTTTTGCAGTTTATAGGGGCCACAACCTCCATTATCATCCATAATATAGAAAAGCAAAACAGCAGCAAAAACACACAGAAATAAAAGGGTGGAGTTAAACAGAAAACAAAATAAAAATTGATTTTCACCTCATTGTCAGAGAAGTGAAAGTGAACGTTATCCATGCAGGATTTGTAGAGAAGTTGGATAAGCATAATTGATTAATATTGATGTGAGACAGATAAAAGCTGCTCCAAGATGAAAAATCTCATTCACTGGAGTTTGGTAGCCAACGGTATCTCCACAGTACCAGGAGGAAGGTTGAGAGCATATGAACAAGAGCAGACCATTCAGCCCCTTCAGCCTGATACATCATTCAATGAGCTCATGACTGATCTGTAGCCTAACTCTGATTTCCTGGCTTAGCTCCTTATCCTCTAATCTTTCAACTGGCAAAAACCTACTGATCTCAGGTTTTAAAGTATTTGTTAGTTATATCTGATATCAGCCTGCTGATATCTGAGAGAGATAAAGCCCATTTTCTACCAACATTTGCTTAAGACTTGTTTCCTAACTTCTCTCCTGAGCAGCCTGGCTCTAATTTTAGCATTATGTCCACTTATCTGAACACACTCCCAACAGCAGAAAATCTTCCTCTCTAACTACGCAGTCGCATTGATTATTTTATGAAGCCAGAGGCAATAACTTAAAGGAGCTGAATTTTGCACAACCTGCACAAGTTCCTGAGATAACAAGGTGTAGAGCTGGATGAACACCGCAGGCCAAGCAGCATCAGGGGAGCAGGAAGGCTGACGTTTCCGGCCTAGACCCTTCTTCAGAAATGGGGGAGGGGAAGGGGTTTCTGAAATAAATAGGGAGAGAGGGGGAGGCGGATAGAAGATGGATAGAGGAGAAGATAGGTGGAGAGGAGACAGACAGATAAAAGAGGCGGGGATGGAGCCAGTAAAGGTGAGTATAGGTGGGGAGGTAGGGAGGAGATAGGTCAGTCCAGGGAGGACGGACAGGTCAAGGGGGCGGGATGAGGTTAGTAGGTAGGAGATGGGGGTGGGGCTTGAGGTGGGAGGAGGGGATAGATGGGAAGAAGGACAGGTTAGGGAGGTGGGGTCGAGCTGGGCTGGTTTTGGGATGCGGTAGGGGGAGGGGAGATTTTGAAGCTTGTGAAATCCACATTGATACCATTGGGCTGCAGGGTTCCCAAGCAGAATATCAGTTGCTGTTCCTGCAACCTTCGGGTAGCATCGTTGTGGCACTGCAGGAGGCACAGGATGGACATGTCGTCTGAGGAATGGGAGGGGGAGTTGAAATGGTTCGCGACTGGGAGGTGCAGTTATTTAGTGCGAACCGAGCGTAGGTGTTCTGCAAAGCGGTCCACCAGCCTCCGCTTGGTTTCCCCGATGTAGAGGATGCCACAACGGGAACAGCGGATGCAGTATACCACATTAGCAGATGTGCAGGTGAACATCTGCTTGATGTGAAAAGTCTTCTTGGGGCCTGGGATGAGGGAGGAGGTATGGGGGCAGGTGTAGCACTTCCTGTGGTTGCAGGGAAAAGTGCCGGGTGTGGTGGGGCTGGAGGGGAGTGTGGAGCGGACAAGGGAGTCACAGAGAGAGTGGTCCGTCCGGAAAGCAGATAAGGGTGGGGAGGGAAAGATGTCTTTGGTGGTGGGGTCGGACTGCAGATGGCGTAAGTGTCGGAGGATGATGCGTTGGATCCGGAGGTTGGTGGGGTGGTACGTGAGGACGAGGGGGATTCTGTTTTGGTTGTTATTGCTGGGAGGGGGTGTGAGGGATGAGTTGCGGGAAATGCGGGAGACACGGTCGAGGGCGCTTTCGACCACTGAGTGGGGGAAGTTGCAGTCCTTGAGAAACGAGGACATCTGAGACGTACGGGAGTGGAATGCCTCATCCTGGGAGCAGATGCGGCGGAGGCGAAGGAATTGGGAATAGGGGATGGCATTTTTGCAGGAAGGTGGATAGGAGGAGATGTATTCTAGGTAGCTGTGGGAGTCGGTGGGCTTGAAATGGATATCGGTTTCTCGGTGGTTGCCAGAGATGGAGACAGAGAGGTCCAGGAAGGAGAGAGAGGTATTAGAGATGGTCCAGGTGAACTTAAGGTTGGAGTGGAAGGTTAATAAATTTTTCATGATAGATTTTTATATATTCCCTATTGCCAATGTCAGGCTCAAAAACAGAAGTTGCTGGAAAAGCTCAGCAGGTCTGGCAGCTCTGTGAAGAAAAAATCAGAGTTAAAGTTTCGGGTCCGGTGACCCTTCCTCAAAGTTCTGAGGAAGGGTCATTGGACCCGAAATGTTGAGCCTGATTTACAGCATCCAAAGTTCTTCCGGTTTTAACTAATGTCAGGCTAATGGGTCACTGTTTTTGCGCTTTCTTTCTTAATTAGTGGAGTTACATTCACTATCTACCAATTTGCAGGCATCATTCCAGCATCTGTAGAATTTTGAAAAGTGATCATCAATGCATCTGTTATCTCCACAGCCACCTTTTTCAACACTCTAGGATATAAACCATGGGATCCTCCCACTCCACCAACCCTGCATCCCCACCACTCTGCCTCCTCACTCCCTCACCCACTGTCACCAAACCCCCCCCCCACCATTCTGCCTCCTCACCTACTCTCACCACCCCCCACTCCCACACCACTAACTATGCACCCCCACCATTCTGCCTCCTCACCTACTCTCACCACCCCCCATCCCCACGCCACTAACCATGCACCCCCACCATTCTGCCTCCTTACCTACTCTCGCCACCTCTCACCCTCACACCACTAAACATGCACCCCCACCATTCTACCTCCTCACTCCCATTGTCAACCATTGCACACCATTGCTAACTACTGACCACAACACCTTCTCTCTTTTGTGTCTTATAAGCACAGCCAGGACCTCACCACCTCATTCCCTCACCTACTCACACTGCACACCCTCCACACTGCCTCCTCACTCCCTCAAAACACTTCACCACCTTTCCCCCAGTTGCATCAAGACTAACAACACCACCCACTTTCATCAAATTATTTCCTCCCTTTCTCTCATTGCAGGAGAAGACAAACCACAAAACAGCAGAGCGAGGCCCTATGGATGGAGGGGTACCTGACATTAGGCTCCTCGCCCCCTCCATGTGAGAAGAGGATCCTGTCCTTCACAGGAAAGGCAAGAGCTGTTCCTGCAGGAACGCTGGGTTATCATATCCCACCAACTGAGTCAGTACCACTGTGACTCTCGCAGGTGCTCCACTGTCAGTGTCAACCATTGCACACCACTGCTAATTACTGACCACAACGCCTTCTCTCTTTTGTGTCTTAAAAGTACAACCAGTACCTCACTACCTTTGTGGAGAAATGCCCGGCTTTACCAAAAGGATGAGAGCACAGAGGCATCAGGGGAAGCATTGGTAAGGCTGCCCTCCTGCACCCACCACCAGCTCAGATACTGACACTTCAGTGGGTAGGTTAGGCTTTGAGAGTGTAGGAGCACGCTCTGGTGAGCACTTCACTACAACATCTCCACAGCTGAGGAAATGCCCCAGGCCAAGGGCACCCGGAGGACTGCCAGAGACCAGATACCTGCTCAGCCCCGGGGCAGGAGAGGGCCCTGGAGTGTCAGCGCTCTGAGACATTGTCCACCAGCACAAGAAGGAACAGAAGCAGCACACAGGGATATGGACAGTAATGGTCCTCATTGCCAAAAAGCCACAGCAGTGCAGTGAGTCATGTGACCCATCTGTCTGTCTCCATGGACAGGTTGGTGGATGCCATGGAGAACCAGGTCCAGCCCCCTCACGGTCTGCTGGAGAGGCATACATAGTTATAATCCATTGCCCCAGGCACTGGTCGTCAGGACCACAGTCATGGTGAGAAAGAATGGAGAACCTGGTCATCACTCCAGCTGCCACTTTGTCACAAAGAACCAGTAGACACCCAGTAGAGGATGAGCCACACACAGGCCCCTCTACAGTCTCCACTCAGGACACTGCAGAAGTGGTCAGGCCCTCGACATCACCCTGTCTGCCCCCTTCCGACCATCCGAAGTTCAAGCCAAGGACAGTCAACTTGTCTCTGGCAAGAAGACCCTCAGTATGTCAGGTCCATGCAGACACAAGTGCCCCTGGGGTCGTCCAACCAAACCTCCAAGGCTAATGGGCTGCACTGCCAGGCAGACTCCCTGCAACACAGCCAGAACGATGTAAAGAAGAGGAAGCAAACAACTTATCAATGGCACTTTGCTGGCAAGGTGACAATGCGGGATAATTATTTTGCACTTTCTTCATTAATTTCACCTGAGATCTCATTGTTTGTCTCTCTCTGTGTAACTCCTACAGCATCAGGCATCACTTCATGGCCGCAGGCAATGTGCCCTGGATGGAGGTCAACGCTGACAGCCTGCTGCATCATCTGAAAGCTAAAGGAACAAGGCCTACTCATGGTATTGTGTGCTGCTGACTGGTCTGGCCCTCCTCTTACAACATCCCTATCTTCTGCAGCCTCTGTATCCAAAAGTGCAGCTATCAATAAGTTGTTCAGCATTATCTGCAGTGGTGAGTGTGAACACCGGCAAATGTGTGAGGCAGTCCCATTGCAGTGCTGGTCGTGCTATACTGGTGGCTGCAATAAAGTGACAGACATTGACTGCCCAGAAGCTATCAGACAGCAATGCCTGGCACCTCCTGTGTGACAGTCCCATGCAATGGTGATCTTATGATGCTAACGCATACATTGGAGCATGTAGCATTGAGTAGACAGTGGTACATGCCCTGGCACAG